TAATAAACACTAATCAACAATAATAAACAATAGGAAATACTAAACCCTAGTCAATACTAAACACTAATAAAGTCTAGTATGTCTTAAGTAGGGTTTATGTGCATTAATTAGGGTTAATGAGGGTTTAGGGTTTATGAGGGTTAATTAGGGTTTATGATGGTTTATTAGGGTTTATGCGGGTTTATTAGGGTTTATGAGGGTTTATTATGGTTTATGAGGGTTTATTAGGGTTTATGAGGGTTTATTAGGGTTTATGAGGGTTAATTAAGGTTTATGAGGGTTTATTATGGTTTATGAGGGTTTAGGGTTTATGAGGGTTTAGGGTTTATGAGGGTTTATATACTTCTTTAGGTTGTAAACCCCACAGACAGGGATCGCATAGGATCCTCTTGGGATCGATCCTGGGATCGATCCTGGGATCGTCTCCTCCCTGTTGCTGATGCTGATGCTGCTGCTGCTGCTGCAGGTGTTGCTGCTGCTGCTGCTGCTGATCATTTAAGGCAAATCCTCCATAACAATCCGCATGCACATAAACCCCACAACTTATACACACACATAAAGAGGAACCAGCTCCTGCTTCCTGCATGCGCAACAGACACAGTAGCAGCAGCAGCAGCAGCAAGAGCAGCAGATTGATATACTACATGGTATTCAATGCAGCAGCAGCTGCTGCTGCAGCAGAAGTTGCAGCAGTAAGAACACCGACAGCATGCAAGCACTGCAGCAGCAAAGATAAAAGGAACAGCAGCAACAACAATAACAGCAAAACGAACAGCAGCAGCAGCAGCTGCTGCTGCAGCAGCAGCAGCAACAGCAGCAGCAACAGAAGCAGCAACAGAAGCAGCAGCAGCAGCAGCAGCTTACGCGTAAGCAGACAGCGCAGACATCATCTGCATATACATCTACAGAGATAGGGATATCATCTAGTGTACCATCTGCTGCTGCTGCTGCTGCTGCTGCTGCTCCCTTTCCTTCTGCTGCAGTTCCTGCTGCTGCATCTGCTTCCATCTTTAGCATGCGTTGTTTGTTGGTGGTGGTGGTGGTGCTGCTGCTGCTGCTGGCTGCCTTATTTTTGCTGCTGCTGCTGCTGCTGTTGCTGCTACCACTTCTTTTAGCGCTGCTAGAAGAAGATGATGCTTCTGCAGGTGCAGCAGCAGATGCTGCTGCTGCTGCTGCAGCAGCAGCAGCAGCAACAGCAGCAACTGCAGCAGGCTGGTCTGCAGGGGCAGCACCATAAGGAGGCCTACTTAAGGATATTCCTCCTGATAGAGATGCCCTCTCATACCTTATTCGTTGCTGCTGTGCTTGCTGCCTGTACACAGCAGCAGCAGCAGCAGCAGCAGCAGCAGCAGCAGCAGCATTTAAACTCTTTACCAGTAAGAAGAAATTCAAGGGAGATAATTAAAGGAGACAATAAAAAGGAGACAAAAAAAGGAGACAAAAAAGGAGACAAATAAAAGGAGACAAAAAGGAGACAAAAAGGAGACAAAAAGGAGACAAAAAGGAGACAAAAAGGAGACAAAAAGGGAAACAATAAATAAAGGAGACAATAAAGGAGGAAGGAGACAGAAAAGGGGACAAAAAGGAGAAAAAAAAGGAGACAAAAAAGGAGACAAAAAAGGAGACAGAAAGGGGGACAAAAAGGAGACAAAAAAGGAGACAAAAAAGGAGATAAAAAAGGAGACAAAAAGGAGACAAAAAGGAGACAAAAAAGGAGACAGATAAAAGGAGACAAAGGAGACAAAAAAGGAGACAAAAAAGGAGACAAAAAAGGAGACAAAAAAGGAGACAAAAAAGGAGACAAAAAGGAGACAAAAAGGAGAAAAAAAAAGGAGAAAAAAAAAAGAATAGTATACCTTTTATGAGCATAATGTGGTGTATGTTGAGGACAAAAGACATCAACAACAAGTTGCTGCAGCAGCACATCCTCTGTTAATCCTATACGTTGTATAGATTTGCTGCTGCTGCTGCTGCTGCTGCTGTTGTTGCTGCAGGTGTTGCTGCTGCTGCTGTTGTTGTTGCTGCTGCTGTTGTTGTTGTTTCCTCCTCCTCCTGCTGTTGCTGCTCCTGTTGCTGCTCCTGTTGCTGCTGCTGCTGTTTTGTCATCAGATGTGTCTCCTTCTGCAGCAGGAGATGACCCTTCCTCATCTAGATCTACTACAGACCCTGATCTATGCTGCTGCTGCAGCAGCAATTGCTGCTGCTGTTGCTGCTGTTGCTGCTGCTGCTGCTGCTGCTGCTGATCTATTAGAGGGAATGGTCTTTGGCTACAGCGAACTTTTACATAGAAACCATTAAGCCATGCACAATAAGGATGAAAGTATTTGTTGCAGTAATTGTTGCTGCTGCTGCTGTTGCTGCTGCTGCTGTTGCTGCTGTTGCTGCTGTTGCTGCTGCTGCTGCTGTTGCTGCCGCAGCAACGCCTTACTACCCCTACATCTACTTGACAGACACAGCAGACAGCAACAGGAGCCTTAGAGAAGCAAACAAACCCAGGCAGCAGCCACTGTACAGGTGTAGCAGCAGCAGCAGCAGCAGGAGCAGCAGGAGGAGCAGCAGGAGCAGGAGGAGCAGCAGGAGGAGCAGCAGGAGATATTTTTCCTTGATCAATATCAGGATCAAGGCCATCCCCTTGCAGCAAATGTTGTTGTTGTTGCTGTTGTTGTTGCAATAAGATTTGTTGCTGCTGTGCAGCAGCAGCAGCAGCAGCAGCATGAGGTATTGATGTTAATACCCATGGCTCTAATCTTAAGGTGTCTATACACCTGGCAACAGGAAGTAACCATAAGGCACATTGTAGATGAATCATATCTATACAATCATTTCTTGCTGCTGCCTCTGCATCCCATTGTCCCTCCCCCCCTTGCCCCTGCTGCTGCTGCTGCTGCTGTTGCTGCTGCTGCTGCTGCTGCTGCTGCTGCTGCTGCTGCTGGTAGCGACGTAAGGATAAGGCCCTCTTAAATGCACCTCCTTTCTTACCACATATACAACAAACAATTGTAGATAAATTAAAATTGCTGCGCTGCTGCTGCAGCCCCACCAACCTTTTCTCCCAATCACAGCGCATGCATAACCATCCTTCACCATTAGGTGCTGCTGCTGCTGCTGCTGCTGCTGCTGATGCTGCTGCTGATGCACATGAACCACCTATACCTATACCTGTACCTAATCCTATTCTTGTCTGTCCTCCTATTAATCCTCCTCCTGTTATTCCTCCTGCTACTCCTCCTCCTCCTGCTGCTCCTCCTCCTCCTCCTCCTCCTCCTCCTGCTGCTGCATAAGGTATTGAGCAATAACAATGACGGTGTACAGACACCTGGCAGCAACTGCAGCGCAGCAAACAATTCAATGCACTGCTGCTGCAGCTCCAACAGACACAGCAAAATGTACCACTGTCTCCTATTGAATCATTATCTAAACTGCTGCTGCTGCTGCTGCTGCTGTTGCTGCTGCTGCTGCTGCTGCTGCTTCTGTTTGATTGGTTTGTGCTGCTGCTGCTGCTGCTGCTGCTGCTGTCTGTTGAGGCACCACAACGTCTACTGTCAGAGAAACCAGAAGCAGAACCTGCTGCTGCTGCTGCTGCTGATGTTGCTGCTGCTGCTGTTCCTCCTGCTGCAGATGGTCTTTGTCCTACACGTTTGCTGCTACCTGTTGCTCTTGATGCATTTGCTGCTGCTGCTCCTGCTGCAGCACCACCACCACCTGCTGCTTGCCCCCCACCACCGCTGCTGCTGCTACTACTACTACTACTAGTACTACTACTGCTGCTGCTGCTGCTGCTGCATGGCTTCCCTGGTGTACATTCTCCTGTACAAAGAAGAGAACAAAAGTCCCTATGTCCCCTGTACATACACTGCAGCAAATGTCCCCATCTAGCAGCAGCAAAGTAACGAGATAAATATTGTGTCTCTGCTGCTGTCTTCTCATTAAGGCGCAGCGCAGCAAATATATTCTGCTGCTCTATCCTATCCAGCAGCAAATTACGGTGTATATGCAGCTCCTGCTGCAGCAGCAAACCACTATATAATGTTGCTATATAATTATGTTGTATTATATTGTTGTTGTTGTTGTTGCTGCTGCTGCTGCTGCTGTTATTATCTAATAATTGGAGTCTATGCTGTAGTACTCCTGCTGCTGCTGCTGCTGTTCCTGCTGTTGCTGCTGCTGCTGGGTTGCGATCCGATGCGTCCTCTACTGCTGCTGCTGCTGCTGCTGCTGCCGTACGAGCTACTGCTGGAGATAATAGCAGCAAACCCCCAACCTGTACAGTGTCTTTGCTGCTTGCTGCTGCTGCTGCTGCTGCACCTGCAGCAGCAGGTACTACCTCTAACCCTGTTGCTGCTGGCTTGCTGCTGCTTGCAACTGGTAAATTCACAGCAGCAGCAGCAGCAGCAGCAGCAGCAGGAAGTGATGATTGCCCTACAGAAGCCTTCACTGTGCGGCTGCTGTCTCCTGTCCCGGGTGTACCTGCAGGTGCAGCAGCAGCAGCAGGTGCAGAAGTTGCTGCTGGGGCTCCTGCTGCAGGTGCTGCTGGTGCTTGTGCTGCTGGTGCTGCTGCTGTTGCTGCAGATGATGCTGGTTGTGCAGCTGCTGTTGATGGTGCAGAGTTTGCTTCTGCTGCAGTAGATGTCGTGATCTGCTGCTGCTGCTTCTGCTGCTGCTCAGCAAGCTTCTTATCCTGTTGCTGTTGCTGCTGCTGCTGTTGCTGCTGTTGCTGCTGCTGCTTGCTGCTGTCTCCCTGTGAGTTCGCAGCAAGGAGGTCCCCAACAGTCTTCATTCCCATGAAGTCTACATACAGTGCGGGGTCTGTCTTGCTGCTGCGGCTGTTGCTGCTGCTGCTGTTGCTGTTGCTGCTGCTGCTGCTGCTGCTGCTGCTGCTGCTGCTCTCTGTGCTGAAGGCAGCAACTCTACGCTTAAGGAAGGAAGCAGTATATCTACTAAGTAGCTCAACAGGCCCGACCTCTACCTCCATTGCATCCTCAGCAGCAGCAGCAGCAGCA